TGCAGCTGTATATAATTAAGTACTGAACATAAGCTAAAAGCAGCAAGCTTGTGGGGGGATTCCCATAGGGCATGTGCGCTCTCTGGAGCGAGACAGAGAGAGTGAGAAATCACCCCTTGGGGGGATGGCCCACGCCTCGTCTCCCCCATCCTCTCAGGATTTTGGGCATGCCCACACATGTGCCTGGCATAATTTTCAAGCCACTGGGCCCAGGACTCAAACCATGGTTAGCCAGTTGGGACTCTAGCAACCTTAACCACCTACTGGCCACAGCAATAAAAATTTTAATTTATATGGGATAGGTATAGCCTGTAGATAGTGATTCCCTTTGTTTTCTTTCTTTTTTCTTTTTGGTCTATTTATTAAGTGGCTAGACTAAACCAAAATCAAAATATTATTTAAGTGTATTTCTTGCATGAACAAGAGAGAGAGACAGAGAGATAAACAGCAGCCCCCACAGGATTTCAGTGCTGCCATCCATCCTGAGCCTCAGCCAGCTAGGATCATGGGCAGGTGCATGCCTGGTGTACGTGGAGGTCTCTAGACACAGACCTGGAGCCCTCCTGTGGGGTCACCGACGGTCACAGACGGCCGGTGTCATCTGCCAGCCCCAGCGACTCTGTTTTTCATTTAGAAATGCGATTTCTAGCGAGTGCTGCTTTATGCCCCTGTCTCCTGGTAGCCAGAGTTCGAAGGTTATGCAGATTGTGTCCTGACTGGATTTGGACCTTGCTGCCTCTGAAAGTGCACCGGTGCGCTGTGGAAGCTCCCAGAAGCATCTGCTGGTGCTTCCCTTGCGGGATTTGTACTTTGTATCTCACTCAGCTGCCGAGTCACTGGACAAGTTGGAACTGCTAGCCTTATGCAAGTTTGCTTTGAAAAAAAGGAAGTCAGCCAGCAGGTGGCCTAGTGGGTGAAGGCAGCTGGGTCCCACATGGCCGACTGTCCTTTGAGTCCTGGATCCCATGGCTTGAATTTCAACACACCACATTCCTGTCCCTGAAGTCCTTACAGGAGGCAGAGGTGGAGGAGAGGGGATAGCAGTGTGACCATGACCCATGACGGGAGTGCTTTCTCCTTTTCTCTTTCTCTTCTTTCTCTCCAGTGATCGCACACACCTGCTGGAAAAGCTACCCAAAAAAGTAGTAAAGTCATCTTTACATCTTGGTTTAGTCTAGTCGCTTGAGTAGATTGAGACCATAGCAGTTTTCAGAGATGATATCTGTCTGATCAGAGAGGAATGTAGTCCCCAGCCGTGGTGCCACACAGCATCCCCTGGCAGCCATCCACATGAGATGTTGTGGGCTGGCGCAGGCCGTCTGCAGGAGATGGAAGGCCCTGGCAGGAGGCCCTGCAGGCTGTTGGGCAGCTCCCTCAACAGAGACAGCTCTGCAGAGCAGCCGGGAGCGGGGGGGTG